TGTGTAAAATAAATGGCTTTTACAAAGTGGGTGCGACAAGGAGATGTTTTCTCTTGAGTGAATGAAGTGCAAGCCTCAGGTATGTTCACTGTAAGGTACACTTCCAGGTTAGTTTTAGCTGGTGATAGAACAGCAGTGGATATGTTCAAGGAGTGTACATCAGTGTATCATGCCTTTAAACATAGCAAGCACAAAGTGATGAATAAAATATGTTAATTAATAAGTTAATTTTACAAATGAAGGCTTTCCTTTATGGTCAATTTTAGTTTAACATTTTTTAAACTCCACGATTTATGCAATGGGATTTAAAATGTAGCTATCACACACCAGCACCTTAATACAGACCGACATAAGCTGCACTGTGGTTCAGCACAACATGACTATAAGGTACACTAATTTAACTTTATGCTGAATTAAAGAAATTACCCAACAACAAATAAAAATATGTTTGTTATTTTGCAGACCATACAATGTTTGGCAACATAAAATTAGCAGATCTTAAATGGTGTATTGAAGTCTGTTCCCTGGTCGATAAATGTTTCCATGCCCGGGTGTGAGGGATTGGCTTGTCCGCTAAGGGGAGTGTTGCCTTGGAGTGGGGGAGGGGGAGGAGATGGAGAGAGGGGGAGGAGATGGAGAGAGGGGGAGAGAGAGAGGGAGGGAGAGATGGAGAGAGAGAGGGAGGCAGGGAGAGAGGAAGGGGAGATGGAGAGAGGGGGAGGGAGAGAGAGAGGGAGGGAAGGGGAGAGGGAAGAGGAGAGAGGGAGAGAGAGAGAGAGAGGGAGGGAGCGAGAGAGAGAGAGGGAGGGAGGGAGAGAGAGAGGGAGGGAGGGGAGCGTTCCCGCAGCAACAGGGAAGATGGCAGCTCACACATCTCTCACTCAGGTATAGATGCAGCAATTTACGACTCTACACTTTAATTTTAGGCTAAGATAATGAATAGAATGATATAGTATGTGTCATTCATGACATTGCATTTTGTTTTGCTTTAAAAAAAAAGAGCTCTCTTTGGAGTGCAGCTAGAAATGAGGCAGTCAGCTGGTCGAATAAGGCCTAACGTTAACGTTATTGCAGTACCGTTAGGTAGCGGACTTGTTAGCCTCAGCTGGTGCTAGCTAGCCGTGTAGCTGTTAACTTGCGACATAACTACACGTACTAATTACAAATTGAAACATAACGAGCAACGTGGGCACTGTATAGAAAGTTAGACCTGGGCAGGCCTGCGCACGGACGTGTAACAAAGCATCAGAAAGTCATAACGCTCAGTGCTTAAGCTAGCAAACCTTAGCTAGCCTAGCATTGATGCCAAGTAGTATGAGGATGGAAATACACATGCTCTTGTGGCTAGAATGCATGCTATAACATTACAGCACGCTAACCTGGGCTAAGCTTTCATTAAAGGTGCTTAGTGTTGGCTCAGTAGTCTTAACGTTCACTAGTGGCCAATTTAATGCTAAGGCTGGTGTGCACCCACGGTAGCGAGTGCCTTGCCTGCTGCGGTTGCGCAACAGTCATTAAATGACAATACAGTTGGTTTGCCATATCATTGTTATTGTGAGCAGAAGGGCATGGGAGTTCTTTCAACAAACCGAAATTCAAAGCTTATTTCAGCTGGTTGAAATACGCTGGTAATAGAAGCGTAACGTGAAATTTTAGAATACACTGCTTAAATGTTATCGGTGATTGTATCTGAAGGAACCTCACCTGTAGAGAGAAGTGCATGGGTTGATTTACAGTGCAAAACTGTTCTCTTTCTGCCACAGTTGTCAAGTGGGAACCCTGTATATGAGAACTTTTACAGACAGGTAAGACGATGACTCCAAGCATATTGCTTCTATACTGTAACATGGGCGCGCGCCTTGGGTCCCCGGCTCCTCCAGTCTGCATGACGAAGTGTCCTTGGGCAAAATACTGAACCCCAAATTGTGAGTGTATGAATGTTAGTATCGTTTTGATGAGTGGCACCTTGCATAGCATCCATTGCCATCAGTGTGTGAATGGGTGAATGTGACGTGCAGTGTAAAGGATTGAGTGGTGGGAAGACTAGTAAGGCCTATATAAATGCTTTCCATTTGCATTAATCCTTATTTATGCAAAACACGTGTGAAAAACAGGCCATTCCACCGAATGCGTGCCATTAGGTTGTCTTCCAAAATAAACTTCATTTTATTATGTTTTTTCAACACTGAATCTAATAACACACTCATTAAACTATTTCAAATATATATTGGTCACTATCAGGCAAATTTGTTTAACTTTTTTTTCTCAGTCCTGTTACCAAAACTCGTGTCATTTTAAAAGCAAGTTGTTTTTGTTTTTCCCTAACAAAAGTGTTTTTAAAGAAATTGTTGGTTACATGTTGTTGTATATTTGTGGCAAATTGTACTTTATATGCAAGTTTTTTTGTTGTTTTTTTAAATGCAACACCTTTTTTTGTTTTAAACGAGAGCACAACCTCAGGCTTATCAATGTTTTTATCATGTAATGTATTAAACAATTGGCTAAATGATTGGCCAAACTTACTTTAAAAAATAGTTGTTTATATTTCATTTTTATTAAAAACAAAAACAATTTAATAACATGAATGAGCTCTCGGTAACAGGAATGAGCACTGGGTAACAGGAAAGATAACAGGAATGGGCGCTGGGTAACAGGAAAGATAACAGAAATGAGCGCTGGGTAACAGGAAAGATAATAGGAATGAGCGTTGGGTAACAGTATGCAGAAATATTCAAATACACTAGGCAAAAATAACACATTTATAACAAATGCAAAAAACTTCATGGTACCAATGGATGAATTAGTTGATCTAGTTTCATATGACACTAGTATCATCACTCTTGAGGTAAAATAGAGCCCACCACAACCCATAAAAAATTGTAAAGACCCCCTCTGGGAATGCTGCTAAGGAGATGAAGAGAGTGTATTTGACTGACAGGACTGAAAGTAATAGGACTGAGCTTAAAGCATAGAATTAGCAAATACGTGAAATATAGTCACATGGTGTCCATGCTAATAGCATGAGGACACTGGGCACATTCTAGTTATTTACCACAAATTTGTATTTTTATATAACAAATATGTCTTTTGATCTTCCCAAGACCTTCAGAAGATGCAGATGATGCAACTTTCTCTTAAACATGGGACTGGTAGAATGTACCAAATTCTTTAGAGGGGGGGATATATTAGGGTAACAGGCCTGAGTGATAAAACAACTAAAATGTGTATTTTTACGCAAACATTATTACCTTTTTATGAAGAAAATATGTTTAAAGCATAGCTGGGATATGGGGTCACTCATCAGTGCAAGAAAAACAAGATTTCTGAAGGTATTTAAAGCCCCCCTCCAGCCAGTGTTAACAACCGTTTTTGGTTAAAGTCCTTTCTCAAACAGAGAATGGGGGTGTGGTTAATAGTCGGAAGTAATACATTACCATGACAACCAAAAACTGACCGGCTGGAGTGTTCACTAATGATATGATGCGTTAACATCGCTACACTGTAAAGTTTAGCACACTGTCAGGAGTAGCTATTACTTACCTATTAATGTGCAAGTATCAGCTGTTATCAATCATAGATGGTCCTGTCATGCACTGCACACGATAACTCCCACTATGTTTATGGCGCGCTTACTTTACCGCGGGGGGGGTATATTACTCTGTTGTAACTGTATGTAAAGACTACTGATACCATTTCCTCCGCTGATGCATTGGTGAAACGGCCGTAAGTAAAATGCATGTTGCAGACATAAGACGATGGCAGGTGAAAGTGCGACGTGTTTTCTGTCATCTGTCGTCCCAAGATGTCCAACCACTGATTACAAACACCGCACACACAGATGCCATAATGAAAATGAACAGCACACTAAACCAAGAGGAGGAAACTAAAAAATAAAATGAAGACCCTCTGTTAGCTAACTTTCTGCAATAACTATGCTAGCTAACTACACCTGGCTAACTACAACTTAGTTAACTTAGCTAACGTTAACTAAACTAGAAGGACCAACCGACTATCAGACACAGAGAGACATACTTACTGTAAGTTCTAAGTAAATTACATGATAAATTGGTTAGCTAAAAAAGATGTTTATCGCTTTGACGCTCTGACTTAACGAGGCGTGACGGCGTTATTTTTTTAATGAGGCATGACAGTGCGCCTGCGCAAGCTTGGAGATGACTTATGGAATTAGTATAGTCATACGTCACAACCCCGTTTTAACAACAAAGCAATTTTTGCAACTTTGAGCACAAAATTAAGCTGTGTGTCAAAAAATATTTGGCAAACTATGTGGGTAATCAGCATTGTAAGGAAATGACTCAGAAAAATATGAAATATCATAGAAATGTCAAAATACACTGGAGGGGGACTTTAATCATGATATTTCATGGTAGAGTATAGTTTTAGGGAGTGGGGAGAGGAAACAAATGCTATTTTTTAGTGTTCTAGGTAGTTTTTAGTTTTAGAGTAGAGTAGAATAATGTGCAGGACTCTTTGCTTAATAAGTTTTTAAAAGTAAATTTTCATGCATATTTATACATTTTATGTCGTGGGGACAGAAATGGCACAGATTCTGCGGAATAGCCCAAAAATGAAAGATTTAAATATGACATAATGCACTCAGACTATGACCTATGTGTTTGCTCCAAGGTGGATCCTGTGAATACAGGGAGAGTAGGACCAACAGAAGCTGCTTTGTTCCTGAAAAAGTCTGGACTTCCTGACATTACATTGGGAAAGGTAGGCAAAGGTTACACTGTTTGCTGTAAAGTGGCTGATGGTGCACTGTTACTCCACACAGAGCTGGAGAGGTGTGTTTGTTTCAAGGTGGTTGCAGCTTGTGGATCTTAATTGTTCTTATTGCAGTTGTGGATTGTCAGTGGACTGAAGGTCAACCTCTGGTCTGTGGTGTTGTCAGTCTGTGTTTGCTGTCAGCATTGTTGAAAAATGTCCAAAAGAGCAAACATGATCAAATCTGTAAAAAGGGACGGTACCAATTAGAACCGGTTATCTGCACACAAACATTACCTAAAGGGGCTCTGTGTCTTTTTTACAGAATATATGCCCTGATTGGTTTGTAGACCTTACTAATAATATTTGGGACATGGAGCAAATTGTAATCACAAATCCACTGTGGACGACCTGCTCAGCAGCAAACAGCAGACAGACACAGAGATTAGCTGGTGAACATAATGGAGCAGTTAGCAGCTGAAGAGGAAACCAAGCAAATATTGGACTTAGACTGTGTCCAAAATCACCAACTACCTCACTATATAGTGAGCTCACCATTTTGTAGTGCGGTCCGAATGTACAGTGAGAATTACAGTGGGGAGAACAAGTATTTGATACACTGCTGATTTTGCAGGTTTTCCTACTTACAAAGCATGTAGAGGTCTGTCATTTTATCATAGGTGCACTTCAACTGTGAGAGACGGAATCTAAAACAAAAATCCAGAAAGTCACATTGTATGATTACCCACTCATTACCTGTATTAACTGCACCTGTTTGAACTCGTTACCTGTATAAAAGACACCTGTCCACACACTCAATCAAACAGACTCCAACCTCTCCACAATGGCCAAGACCAGAGAGCTGTGTAAGGACATCAGGGATAAAATTGTAGACCTGCACAAGGCTGGGATGGCCTACAGGACAATAGGCAAGCAGCTTGGTGAGAAGGCAACAACTGTTGGCGCAATTATTAGAAAATGGAAGAAGTTCAAGATGACGGTCAGTCTCCCTCGATCTGGGGCTCCATGCAAGATCTCACCTCGTGGGGCATCAGTGATCATGAGGAAGGTGAGGGATCAGCCCAGAACTACACGGCAGGACCTGGTCAATGACCTGAAGAGAGCTGGGACCACAGTCTCAAAGAAAACCATTAGTAACACACTACGCCGTCATGGATTCAAATCCTGCAGCGCACGCAAGGTCCCCCTGCTCAAGCCAGCGCATGTCCAGGCCCGTGTGAAGTTTGCCAGTGACCATCTGGATGATCCAGAGGAGGAATGGGAGAAGGACATGTGGTCTGATGAGACAAAAATAGAGCTTTATGGTCTAAACTCTACTCGCCGTGTTTGGAGGAAGAATGTAAATGTAAATGCTCCGTACTTGTATAGCGCCTTTCTAGTCTTTTTGACCACTCAAAGCGCTTTTACACTACATCTGCATTCACCAGTCACACACATTCATACACTGAGCCTAAGTGCTCAAACGGAAACTAACATTCACACTCACTCATACACTGGCGGAATAGCCGCCAGGGTCAATTCGGGGTTCAGTATCAGCCCAAGGACACTTCGACCTGCTCTACCTCCTGAGCCACAGCCGCCCCTGAAGAAGAAGAGGGATGAGTACAACCCCAAGAACACAATCCCAACCGTGAAGCATGGAGGTGGAAACATCATTGTAGGAGCCATACACTGGGTTTGTTTGGGTTTTTATTGGGTTTCCTCTCTTTTCTTTGCACTGTAGTGTACATGCACGCGCATCGTCACGTCATCAGTTACTGTGGGTGTGACCGGGGGCGTGGTGTCTGTATTAATGTGTGTGTGTGTTCACCTGTGAGGAATCTTGGGTTGATCATGGCTGCAGGGTGAGCATGGGGAAGAACTTTCTGTTGACCGTTACCATCGTCGTCAACATCTTTCACTGATGTCTCTGAGGTACCTTTTGCACTACTTACAACATGCATCACTCAAAGTAAGTGATTGGTTTTCTATGTATGTGAAATAGCGTAATAAAGAGACTCAATATGTACGATGGTTCAGCGTGACGCGTCTTCAGTGTAAATCCTCATGTTTCAGCCTGCTGTGGCGTTTTAGTTGTTTTGGTAGGTCTGGTCTGTTTGTTTTACTGGTATACGCCGCAATATTGTGTCAACAGAAAGTTGTTGTTGCGCTGATTCAAACGTATTGTCGGGACTACACTGGATGCTTGCAATCGCTTTCCATGTTGTAAGCGATAGACAGCCAGCGCTTTAGGACTCACGTAAGCCCATTCATTCACAAATTGGCTGATTACTATGCTCATTTTGTCAAGCAGTCGTCTTTATCACAAGGTATAAAACATTGAACTTTGTGGATTGTCTGTTAAGGACCAATTGTATTCCCTGCTAGGCTCAGCGGTACTTTCGCATAAGGTGATTGTACTGTTTGTTTGTTTTGGGACTTTTTGTAGTATTTTGGTTCGTGCGTCAAGCGGGTGAAGCATTGCGCTTGGGAGTGCCGCCGTGGTTCTGGTTCTAAGACTGTCAGTCTGGTTCAAGACTATCGGTATTTAGGTACATAAATACCCACCGCTAGTATGCACAGAAGACTAGGGTTGAGTTAGTTTAGCTTCAGTGAATAAGTTAGAGGGAATCAAAGACAACACATTGTACCTTGTTCACAATGGTATGTGTCATGAAATATGATATAAGTCATTATGGGCGCTGTTTAGCATGTCATTAGCAGGTACTTTGCAGTTTTAACATTAGCAGATTATTGGATTATTTTGTAAATGAAAATGGAGTTGGATGGTTCCAGGTCAATTGAGAAAAGACAAACAAAACTTACACCCAAGGCTTTTGAATATAAATTGGAGCAGCTCCAAGAAGAACGTCAAGTAAAAGTAAGAAAAATTAAAGATGCAATAAAGAAATTAAAGACCTAATGAAAAGTGTTGGAAATGCTAAAAAAATACGGTCTTGTCTTGAAAGTTTGTCGAATTTGTTAACAGAAGCAAGTCATCTCCATGGCGTTGTTGTTCCTATGCTTCCACCTGAGGAACAAGAAAAACAAAATGGTTGGTTTTATAGTGTTGAAGAACATACAACTGCTTTTGTGGAGGAGACTAATAAATGGCTGCTGGAGGCGCCAGAGGCACCAGCAGAGGGCGTTGTTGCACCATGTTTAGGATCTGCTGTTTTCAGCGATAATGAGCTATGCATAGTCAAAACTGTGGAAAATGCAGAAGATGACGTTAGGCCAAGTGATAGTGTTTCCAATGTGGCATTGAGGTCAAAGAGATTCAGTACAGTAGTGAGTAAACCTCTGTCTACTACATCATCAGCCAGAATAAGAGCTGAGGCTGAGACTGCTGCCCTTATGGTTCGTCAAAAGCTGCTGAGTAAAAAGCATGCCCTGGAGGAACAGCAGGAACTGTTGAGGAGAAAGCAGGAGGTGCTGGAGATGGACATGGAGCTGGCAGCGTCTATGGCTAAAGTGAGTGTGTTCAAGGCTTCAGAAGGATCTTGCGTGTCTCATGTTTCTGTGAAATCAGATGGGATGAACTCTTATTTGAAAAGAGGGAAAAGTATACAGTTGAGCCATGAAGCTCCAATATTTGTGCCGGAATTCAACACTCAACCATTGGCTGCAGAGGCGATAGGGGAAATTTCGTTTCCAGGTGATGCTTCTGTGAGGTCCAAGACATACAACAAAAGCCAGTTGCCTGCTGTTGTGACCTCGGCCGGTCAGTCCACTTTGCATAGTCTGCCTGCTGCTGTGACTGGGGTTGATCAGCACACTTTGCCAGAAGGTGTTTCTCATCCATCTATTACTAACTTTCTGTATGGAGATGCACCTGTAACCGTGAATAATTCTGATCAGCGTTTTCTCACAGTTTTAGAAAGGCAAAATCAAATCACGTCTTTATTGGTTGGACAACAGTCACTTTTTCTCTTACCTAAGCGAGATCTACAAGTTTTTGATGGAGATCCACTGCAGTATCAAACCTTCATAAGAGGATTTGAACACAACATTGAGGCAAGAACGCAAAGTCAGACGGATTGTTTGTATTACCTCGAACAGTATACGAGAGGTCAGCCCAGGGATTTGATCCGAAGTTGTCAACATCTGCCTCCGTCCCATGGTTATAGTAAGGCAAAATCACTACTTCAGGAGCATTTTGGTGATCCATTTAAGGTAGCTTCTGCCTATATGGACAAGGTGCTTTCCTGGCCGATGCTTAAGGCCGAAGATGTCAAGGCTTTACGGGCCTACAGTTTATTGTTGCGGGAATGCTGCAACTCTATGGGAGCTTCTGCAAGTGATCTGAACGTACCTACGAATATGCAAATCATTGTGAAAAAACTGCCTTATAAGCTGAGAGATTATTGGAGAAGTGTGGCCTGCGATATTCATGAGAAGTCTCATCGCAGAGCTATGTTCTCAGATATTGTGAAGTTTGTTGAGAGGCAAGTCAAGATGGCGAGTGACCCTCTTTTTGGAAATATACAAGAGACATCTGCGAGTGGAAGAAATGAAGTAAAAATGGTCCGGTCTCAACCTCGTTCAAAAGCCAGAGGCAGTAGTTTCGCTACTACTGTAGCACCTGCTGAGAATAAGGTGGAGCCTGGGTTTAAAAGGGAGAAGAATTCACTAGCGAAAGTTTGTTTGTTTTGTGGGGCTGGGCATTTTAGATGTTTGTTTTAGTTTGGATAAAAGAACACAAGATGAGAAATTTCCTTTTTGAAGGAGAACCGTATGTGTTTTGGATGTCTGTGCGTCGGACACATGAGTAAAGACTGCCGAAAACGTATGACATGTAAAGTATGCAATAATAAGCATCCCACGTTGTTGCATATCTACCCCACAGCAAAACCAACGAGTCCGACTCAGGCCAATGGTGGCTTGAATATGGCCAGAGACGGTGCTGTGGTGTCTGTTCAGTCTAGTGGCTTGACTGGGGCCGGTAAGCAGGACTGTACGCTCTCTATCTTGCCTGTTCAAGTGAAATCTAAGAGGGGTCAGGAGAT